ATGCATAGCTGGAACCAGCATCCACGGAGGTGAGTTCACAGTTTGTCTTCAGTTACGGATATCACAATTACCTTGCCAATTACTGGTATTACATTTTTTCAAATATTCTTAACAACTCAGATTTCCGAAAAAGCCATTTAATCCAAACAATCAAAGCAACCGTACAACCGCGATAAATACAGAACCTCAAGAAAAAACTGGTGTACTGTGAAAAAAACTGTGTCCGTGGGATTACCCAGCCTGATTACAAATACGGTGGTCCCTTTCAGCTTCGCCGCTATTACGCACCAAACTGACGCCACCCTTCTTTCATCAGAACTGGCAGTGATTTACGTTAAGGGGTTATTTGGCATCCATTCATTACGAATATGACATCAGTTTTCAGCGTCGGCGCAATTTAGCGCTTGATGCGAGCAGCCAAAGCTTCTTCTTCCACCAGTTGTGGCATTCTGAGCCGCCACAGGTATTGGGAAAAGTCGCCGTGGTTTGGCTGCAACCCACGCCACTTCACACGCCCTTTTGTTGGCTTGGGCAATGATTTTACCTGCACCAGGAGACCTATCTCGGGTTGCAAGCAAACAAATAAACAACTGAATAAATGAACATCACATGAAGTTAGTTAAGCTTTTAGATGTTGCCACTAACCTCTTTCAAAGCATACGCTAAGTCTTCCGACGAGAACATCATCGAACCACCATCGTGAATAACAGCTGATCCTTCACTAAGTATACGGTAATGTTCCAAGGCGAACTGTAGCGCCCTTCAGACATAATTTGCGTCTAGCGACCACAGCACTACTGAAAAGTGTGATGTTTTGATATGAACCTCAATCTACGTCGGGACAGATGATATTTCTTGCAGAACATAAAAGGATAGGGTCACCACTGTTCCTCAATCTTTTGAGGATGCGGCCCGTACTCTACATCCAGAGTCGTCGTGGCTTATGAATGAGGAGGGGCTTATACAGGCCTTGTGGGGTTCAGCCGATATACCTAGACAGTATTCTAGGACGAACACGAATCTCCTACCAATTTACCGTCCCTAGAGGGAGAAAGCTCGGTTGGCCTGGGTGGGAGCCGATTCAGTATTTGATCTCGGGACCGTACGCATGGTAAGCGTGTCTATTTCCACTGCACCACCTCCGCCACAACGTTGAAGATAATGCAAAAAAAAACTTACTCGTCACGAGCACCTCGCAGATAGTCCACAGCCTTCTCGTTCGTTGGGGTTCCTATATACACAGCCACATTGTATCGATAGACTATTTTGCTTTGTACATTGACCTCCCAGAAATTTGTCAGCAATTTCACCTGAAATGACGCAATTAGCATGAAAATATTGGGATTCTTAACACCACTTCGACACCTTAAGGTG